ACATCCTTTAGTATTCCTTACAATAAAATAGATATTTGTACCATTAAGGGGGAAAATGCATTGGTGCCAGACCATATTTAAACTTGAGATCCCCCGACTCTAGGAATAGCGCCAACAGAACACTGACAAAACACCAACCTTCGTCAGCGAGACAAAACTAGTACGGGACAAGTCATGTAGGCGATAAACCCATCAACAACCAACCAACGACAGAACACCGACCTCCGTCAGCGAGACGAAACCTGCATAGGTGGAGTCATGTAGGTGATAAACCCATCAACAACCAACCAACCAATGCCGACAGAACACCGACCTCCGTCAGCGAGACGAAACCTGCATGGGTTCGAGTCATGTAGGTGATAAACCCATTTAACAGCCAACCAACCAACCAACAAACCAACCAGACTCTAGGTAGTGACGCGGACATAAAACCAATCAATCAATCAATCAATGCCTCTAGCTACACTATTTAACTCATTCACCCCTGAAGATAGAATTGAACTCTTCCACTTCAAAAGTTGGAAACATTCATTATAAAATTTCAGGGGTGAATGAGTTAAATAATTAGCTCACCGGGCCATTTCAATTTCAAATTTTCTTCCTTTCTCTAAGTCTACGTCCATGAAGACAACAATTGACACCCCAGGTTTGGGTTCCCCCATGTCAATTAAGTGCAACGTAACTTAAAACAATAGTTTGTCAAGTGCACAGGCACCACTGTAACAGGAAAGGGAAACTACTACAGTTCCAGACTGCAATTCGAACCTTGGACCTCCAAACTCTAGCCGGATGTTTGAAGTAATTAAAGTACCAGGTCACCCATCCTATAATCGCCTTATGCACACACATATATATATATATATACACCTAACTTTCATTGGTGATAGATGGGTATTTCACCAACATCCACTGAATCAGTCATACACTTCGATCATTACACTCGACACTGAATCACAGCTCACACAGCATCAAGGTCATTCAGTATAGTTGTAGGAAAACCATAGTATTTTTCGTATTTTTCTATTGGTACGGCACTTAACCTAGTAATAATCTTGCAGAACACTAAATCACTTCCCTAGCTATGTTAATTTTTGCAATTCCTGGATTTTTGTGCGTGTTGCAATTCCCTAAGTTCTTAATTCAAATGGTAAAACAGGTAGAATCGGTCAGGTGTTCATTTTCCTGCTCTGAATGATAAGTGAAGCTGCACATTGTACGCAGGTCACTTTTTGAATGTAGTTCTTACCAGGAAAGATTAAATATTATTGGTTATCTGGACATAGCTCATAGCAGAGGGATAAAATGGTTATCTGGACATAGCTCATAGCAGAGGGATAAAATGGTTAGCTGGACATAGCTCACAGCAGAGGGATAAAATGGTTAGCTGGACATAGCTCAATAGCAGAGGGATAACATGGTTAGCTGGACATAGCTCATAGCAGAGGGATAAAATGGTTAGCTGGACATAGCTCACAGCAGAGGGATAAAATGGTTAGCTGGAAATAGCTCAATAGCAGAGGGATAACATGGTTAGCTGGACATAGCTCTTAGCAGAGGGATAAAATGGTTAGCTGGACATAGCTCATAGCAGAGGGATAAAATGGTTATCTGGACATAGCTCATAGCAGAGGGATAAAATGGTTATAGCTGGACATCTTTGACTGTTTGTAATTATACAATAGACACTGTCTATACCCAGGACTCGGTCCAATCTGGAGTTTTGTCGAAATGGCCAAAATCTTTGGCTCCAACGATGACACTGTATTGCAAATAGACTCTCTTTTATTTGAAACTTTCCAGGAATTGACCAAATTATGTAGTCATAGGGAAGTTGTGTTATATCAATAGTAGTATAGATCAATAACAAATATCAATATGTCCACTTACAACTTAAGATTTATCTACTTTCCTTCCCAGCTCTATACTATGCTTTGCGTTAACTGATCCCATTCAGATTCATGTAACACAGTTCTTGCCCGATTACTGCTGATCAACGAGAGATTGGTCACAATATAAACAAATAAAGTGGTTTTAAAGGGGACCAATTATGGTGGCTAACCAAACCATCCCAGCTCATCAATAACCATTGTTACTTGTCTGGACAACATCTGAATCTAGTCCCAACAATACCTCCCTAATCCAAATTCATTGGACAGTCTCTGGCTGATCAGAGAAGGACGAAATATATGGTGTCTCAATTCTTGAGGGTGTACAGGAATAAATGAACAAAATATACATCCCTGATGGAAGGGAAAATTAAGCAGAGGGGTCCTTAACTCATTTACCCCTGAAATTTCATAATGAACTATTCCAATCTTTGCATTGGAAGAGTTCAAATGTGTCTTCAGGGGTGAACGAGTTAATAGATGGGTCAGAATTTGAAGTATTGAGTGTCTTGATCGAGAGAATCATAAATATATGTTGTGTTCTCATAGAGGATAAATTAGATGTATGGTGTGATTTTATATATATATATGGAATGTCTGTTGAGGGGGCTCAGCTATAAATTTAAGGTGTACTGACAGAAAGAAATATATGGAGTGTCCCCAATACAGGAGAACAGAACAATACGAGGAATCCCTTTGGTGATCAAACAATACGAGGAATCCCTTTGGTGATCAAACAATACGAGGAATCCCTTTGGTGATCAAACAATACGAGGAATCCCTTTGGTGATCAAACAATACGAGGAATCCCTTTGGTGATCAAACAATACGAGGAATCCCTTTGGTGATCAAACAATACGAGGAATCCCTTTGGTGATCAAACAATACGAGGAATCCCTTTGGTGATCAAACAATACGAGGAATCCCTTTGGTGATCAAACAATACGAGGAATCCCTTTGGTGATCAAACAATACGAGGAATCCCTTTGGTGATCAAACAATACGAGGAATCCCTTTGGTGATCAAACAATACGAGGAATCCCTTTGGTGATCAAACAATACGAGGAATCCCTTTGGTGATCAAACAATACGAGGAATCCCTTTGGTGATCAAACAATACGAGGAATCCCTTTGGTGATCAAACAATGTATAATTTCATTTCAGATTGAATGTCACAAATTCCATACATAAAAATTCATTTGTAAAAATTATCGATTATTTTTTATTTTTTTAAAAATGTAAATAAGATTTACTGATTATTTGAGCTCTATTTATGCATTACAATAATTACAACAGCTTGTTATCAATGACAAATGACACATCACCCAATACATTACAACAGAATTTATAGACAAACATTCATTTCTTTATGACTTAAAACCCTAATGAATACTTTTTTTCAGATCTAGTACTGCTGATTAATCTCCACCCCTAAAAATCATGATAAACTGCACTTGGTCAATGAAAAGGAAGTGCATTATATCAGATTGGGGGAGATAAGGTTAGGTCATTGATTCCATTGCTTTGACTCACGCAATGTAACACACATCTGTTGTCTTTAACAAGGTAATGAGACCCTATAACCATATATCATCATTAAAGATCAGGTAGAATTCAGTCATAGGCTAATAAAATAGGGTGTTTAATTCATTATACCTCCTCCATTAATCAATCATCGTTAAAGTTTTGTCAGGTCACTATCAGCTAATACAAGACTCATCTGTTGATGTTTTTGTGTGTGGTGAATCAGCATATGTTTTTTTTCCTTTGAGTGGAAAAATGTATATAAAGATTAAACAGCACTTTTTTAAATGTCATGCTGGAATGAACCCAATGTCAGGCTTCGTGGTAAATTTGTATGTAAACCAATCAACCTGAACAGTTTTTTTAACTTATTATTTACCTAAATACAGACATTCCCTAATATTTCCTACAACAAGATTCCTGGAACAGCCGAACGTCATCAAAATGTTTGCTTCTAGCAACTGTCATATTTAATTCAAGCCGGAGGAGAAGCTTCAAAATGATGCTGATCCAATTGCATTCATAGCCCTACAAACGCAATTTCTTATGGTTATGCTAGTAGAGGCCATTGCAGTGCAAGTGTATATACATATTATAGTATGAACTGCTTATATAGGATTCATCTGTTTTTATAATGATTTAAAGTTACATAACATTTTTACAAAATTTAATCTACAGAAATCTACCAATAGATTTTCAACTTCAGTTTCCGAACGGGTTTTTTTCAAGAAAAAATGTAAAGATTATATTTCAGTTCTGAGTAATTTAAGAGATGCAAGATGACACCTACATCTATTTCCATATAAACACTCAGCTATAACAGTCACACCATACAATGATTTACCAGATACTTTTGGACAAGCCATAAAACAGACATCTATTTTCAGAAGTGTAATCTAAAATATTTAAATAGTAGCTAATCTTAATCATGACAGATTGATATGAGGGCACACATGCTCTTAGCTGCCGATGATTCAGATGTTTAAAACCTCTCAAATTCTACTTCACAGTCGTGAAATAATTTCAGAATCTATATTTTTGTTCAGACATTTTTATAATGGAGCACTTTTAAGTTTAATATTTCACTATTTTGTTATTATTGATCTCGTACATATATTTTGTTTTAGTTTGTTTGTATGGATTATACTTTGGCCAAAACAATTTAATCACAAATAAAATATACTTGGTCTCATTTATATTAAACAATAGGAATTACCCAAAGTCTTGTCCTGTACACGTTATAGAAAATGAAGGTTAGTACCCAAAATATTGTCAAGCATACACACTACACAATGTGGGAAGGTTAGGAGTAACCATCTTGTTCAGTGGACACTAGACAATGGCAATGAAAGTTCCAGAGATATTGGAGTACAAGAAATCATGTGACATGTGACATTGTCTAGCAAACTGGAAAATGGTGTCAATAAAGTCAGGCAGCATACCTCCTTTACTCATTCACCCCTACATTGTAACATATCTAAATTGAACTTGCCCTGTTTTGGTAAGGTTCAAATGTGATTTTAGAGGATAATGAAATAAGTCTCCTTGGTACAGTTTGTAACAAAAAATTTATATTATATTTTTTCTTACCTTTACAAGGTAACTGACACTAAGTCTTCAAACAGGTACGGAGGAGTTCTGAAAATTGAAAAAAACCCACATATATCAAGATTACAAAATCAGTACTTATTCAGTGTTCAATCTGCTGTAACACGGCTGTTTCACAGCTTGACTTTGATAGGTCTATTCCACAGCCAGAGGGCGTGTTTTTATGTATAATTATTCCACAGGTAGATGTTGTATACCACATTTACCCAGAAATTACCCCATATCTGGTACTAAGCCCACCCCTATATATTGCAGTTTAGTAGAAATTATCACAAATGGTGTTTCATTTTCCTGTTATAAGCCCTACCCACACTTTTAGCCATTTAAGCTATTTGATAGCCCCACAGGCTTATTGCAGAATAAATGTAGTACATGTGTCCCTATTTCATAGGTAGACTTTTAAATAGATATTTAATAATTAATGTAGGTAGAGATTTATACACCTTTATCTAATAGTTAAGGTAATTTTGTTCATATTCAGCTTTATATGCAATAAAACAAACTACCAGAGTATATGTAGATCAAAGAGTTGAAAATGTAACAATGATTCTAAGAACTAAAGCTAAAAAGACATTGGTGACTCGGCAGCTCATACAGGATAATACGCCTTACAAACCATAACCCGAGGAATCCAATTACAATCACATGATTCTCCATACATATAGTATATATATATCAATTCAAGAATGTGTCCTTTGATGATTCTGTCGGAGTCCAACCGTCAAATCACTTTACAGCCTTTCATTAACCATACAATAAACTATTTCAGAAGTTATGCAATAGAAATGAGAATATTGTTATATGGTATATTGGGAGGGTTCAAATGTGATATTTGTAGAAAACATTATATAGACAGACACGGGTATAATTCATTATGTAAGGCAATACTTGATCAATTTAGTTCAGAATGTGTAATGTCGCTTTCAATTTCAGCTGTCTGACACTTTAATAGGTTTCTTGAAACATAAATTCAGAAATTTGGCTCAAAGACCTCATTCACACAGATACTGTTTAAGCTACTTAGAAATTGGAAACTTTGTACAATTTGACAGCAAGAATTCCATTAATCTAAGTACTATAGTATCGGTACCAGTATATGAATAAAACAGTGTATATGAAACACTATACAAATCCGTGTGTTCCAAACACCTTAACAAATAACGAGCCCAGTCAAGTAAATATCATTTGCTAGCTGTCATATCTTGTGTTTCTTCCAAACTGATAAAATCTCGGCCTGTTTCTGCATGTTACATAGCTAGCTATTGCCCCTTTGTTATCTGTCCAGACACCTAACAAAGGACAGAAAACAGTAAATTTAACAATGTCAGCACCTGACTCAAAAATCTTGTAATCTTGTAATCCGTGACTATGTTGCTGACTCGTAAACTCAAACAGATCATTGCATCTGTCAACCTTCATCATTTTAAAACTTTAACGAAAAAACACCTTTTCAAAGAAAGTTTACATTTTTTTCATATCATATGCATCTTACGTACACAACCTTACAAGCACAAGCTTATCATATTCAAGAAATATTTTACCACACTTTTTTTTTTCTTTACAGTAACATTGAAATATTATCAGCAATAAGCTTACCAGACATATATATCAACTTACCACAATAGAGAGTTAATGTTTTATTAAATAATTATAAAAAAAATTAACTTGACACCTGTCTCGTGCACCTTACATATACCTGTAGTGTATACCGAGACAGGTGAGAAGTTTATCTGATAGAGATTAGGAGGTATCATAGCCAGGTGTCGGAGGGTCCTCAGGGTGTCACTGTAACCCTTACAAAAAGTATTTCCAGAACCAAAGACTTCAAGGTGAATAATAGACCACGAATCACCGGGCTAAACAATTAAGTTGAATCATTCATTGATGACAAATTATCTAAAGATTCTGAGGGTAACGTTACTCAGTTATAGTAACCATTAAACCAATTATAGAACCAAGGAGTTCATAATATTGTCAACTGTACGACAGACCCACCCATCATCAGGCTAATTAACAACCCTGTTTTATCATTCACTGGTGAAAAATTATCTTAAGATCCTCAGGGTGTCACTGTTATCATTAAACTTTAAACGTTTTTTTAGAACCAAAGAGTTCATAATTTTGTCAACTGTATGAGGACCAAGACATCATTCCTTTATAATAAAGTTATTTCAATTCAAATATTTAAAACTTATTCTGTTTGTTCTGACACTCCCTGTATGAATCAGTAGTACCAGGAATGCCTCTGGTTCAATCAGTAATAATCAACATACTTAACCGAGATCATTAAATACACACCTGACCAACTTCTGCGAGTACACTCTCCGAAAGATCCAAACTGGTGTGACTATCCTAGCTATTACACCATAGGGCCTACTGTTGTATTACACCATAGGGCCTAATGTTTTACTATTTCTGGCACAGACAATAATGTAAATTTGATTGTGAATAAAATACCTATATATACCCCCCCCCCCCCCAAAGTTAGTATCATAGTGGGGGTGGGGGTATACCTGTCATCTAGTTACCTGCCCCATACCTGTACTATTGATTACTTCGTTAGCACACAGGTGAAATCTGATATAAGGACTGACTTATGCTACAATTAACATTGATATTAAGCTAACCGACTTTATGAATGTGTGTCTGGTTATGATGACAACTGTAACTCTAGTGTCATACTGAATACTGTGTGTCTGGTTATGATGACAACTGTAACTCTGGTGTCATACTGAATACTGTGTGTCTGGTTATGATGACTACTGTGACTCTGGTGTCATACTGAATACTGTGTGTCTGCATGGTTATGATGACAACTGTAACTCTGGTGTCATACTGAATACTGTGTGTATGGTTATGATGACTACTGTAACTCTGGTGTCCTACTGAATACTGTGTGTCTGGTTATGATGACTCCTGTAGTTCTGGTGTCATACTGAATACTGTGTGTCTGGGTATGATGACTACTGTAACTCTGGTGTCATACGGAATACTGTGTGTCTGGTTATGATGACAACTGTACCTCTGGTGTCATACTGCATACTGTGTGTCTGGTTATGATGACTACTGTGTCTCTGGTGTCATACTGAATACTGTGTGTCTGCTTATGATGACTACTGTAACTCTGGTGTCATACTGACTACTGTGTGTCTGGTTATGATGACTACTGTGACTCTGGTGTCCTACTGAATACTGTGTGTCTGGTTATGATGACAACTGTAACTCTGGTGTCATACTGAGTACTGTGTGTCTGGTTATGATGACTACTGTAGTTCTGGTGTCATACTGGATACTGCGTGTCTGGTTATGATGACTACTGTGACTCTGGTGTTATACTGAATACTGTGTGTCTGGTTATGATGACTGCTGTGACTCTGGTGTCATACTGAATACTGTGCGTCTGCATGGTTATGATGACAACTGTAACTCTGGTGTCATACTGAATACTGTTTGTCTGGTTATGATGACAAATGTAACTCTGGTGTCATACTGAATACTGTGTGCCTGCATGGTTATGATGACAACTGTAACTCTGGGGTCATACTGAATACTGTGTGTCTGGTTATGATTACTACTGTAACTCTGGTGTCATACTGAATACTGGGTGTCTGGTTATGATGACAACTGTAACTCTGGGGTCATACTGAATACTGTGTGTCTGGTTATGAGTTAGTATCATAGTGGGGGTGGGGGTATACCTGTCATCTAGTTACCTGCCCCATACCTGTACTATTGATTACTTCGTTAGCACACAGGTGAAATCTGATATAAGGACTGACTTATGCTACAATTAACATTGATATTAAGCTAACCGACTTTATGAATGTGTGTCTGGTTATGATGACAACTGTAACTCCAGTGTCATACTGAATACTGTGTGTCTGGTTACGATGACTACTGTGACTCTGGTGTCATACTGAATACTGCGTGTCTGCATGGTTATGATGACAACTGTAACCCTGGTGTCATACTGAATACTGTGTGTCTGGTTGTGATGACTACTGTAACTCTGGTGTCATACTGAATACTGTGTGGCTGGGTATGATGACAACTGTAGTTCTGGTGTCATACTGCATACTGTGTGTCTGGTTATGATGACTACTGTGACTCTGGTGTCACACTGAATACTGTGTGTCTGCATGGTTATGATGACCACTGTAACTCTGGTGTCATACTGAATACTGTGTGCCTGCATGGTTATGATGACAACTGTAACTCTGGTGGCATACTGAATACTGTGTGTCTGGTTATGATGACGACTGTAACTCTGGTGTCATACTGAATACTGTTTGTCTGGTTATGATGACAAATGTAACTCTGGTGTCATACTGAATACTGTGTGTATGGTTATGATGACTACTGTAACTCTGGTGTCATACTGAATACTGTTTGCTGTCACATATTGCATGTTGTTGACAACATACCTATGCTACTCTTATGACATAGCTATATCAATAAAATATTGTTTGTTTACAGATATTCTTTTTTCAATCTGATTCATGGTTACTGAAAATAATTTTGAAACCTGTTTACAAATTCTTTTACTTATATTTTGAAAAAATCTTTTTGGTGTTGGTTAATTTTTTGTTAAACATTTTTTTTTTTTTAATGAATTAATTTAATTATACTTTCCCAAAAATAGCTGTATATATACGAAAGGAAATCTAATTATTGATGTATATTAAATTAGAATATGGATGCATATACATAATTAGACATTATTACACAAATATAGAATATCAATTCAGTTTTCTTTTCATGTAATTTTTTTAACAATCTAAATCTAGATTCCTTTTTATTTTAACAAGATTTTGCTGAACAGAAAATAAAACTTTGGGTCAATTTCGTAGTCTGGTATAAAAGAGATCTATAATTGTCTAGTCTTGAACATCCCAATTTTAATTTCTGTCTACCGTTTAATGTCCCAATGCTCTGATGTCATGTCTTTGGAGGTTGTTCTATAATTATATTTGAATACATTTCCTATCCGTATCGACCAGGCACTCCCCTACCATTAGGTGTAGAAGGCC